CAAGAGCAAACTGTGGATCAAATCCAGCCTGCCTCCTATTTTTTTACTGCTGACAAGCTAAGAATATCTTTACCATTTTAAAATTGATTTATAAAATCAAAGGAAAAATACTTTATGAGATGAAAATTTTATGAAATGTACAATACACATTAAATGTAAATTTTATTGAGACAGCCACTCCCTTTTGTTTATGTATCATCTATGGTTATTTTTGTGCTATAGCAATGGAATAGCTGAAACAGACGACATGCCCACAAACACTAAAGTGTATTCTGTCTGCCCCTGCCCTACACAATGGACAAGAGAGACCCAAAGACAGGAGGAGGAAGACTCATAGGAGGCTGCCATAGAAACTGAGCAAGAGATACCACAAAAGGGAGATGGGCAGCGAGGGCAGGGATTTTATGGAAAGCTTTCTGAGACTAGGGAGGGTGCACAGGCGCTGGACCATCCAGGGAGGGCTGCACAGGTGCTGGACCTTCCTGTGCTCCCCACACTGGGCTTGGTCGTGACAACCACTCTCTGTGAGGTGCAAGGTGTCTGTGATGCGGCAGCAGCACTCACATTCTGTTTTATTCACGGTAACAACAGAGGGTGTCTTCAGAGCTGGCTGGCTGTCCAGCGGATGGAGCGGCAGACGTGGAATGCGGGTGTTCTCCGAGCAAGCCAAGCTGGCAATGGATGTATAAATAGAAGTCAGCAGTCATTAGGAGCTTCCCGAGCTGAGATCATCTTCCCTCTAGCCATCACGGCAGGCCCAGGCAAGTGCTAGGTCCATGTCTGTGCCCCACAAGCAGCAAAGGTCAGCAGAACACGAGAGGGGCAGAGAGAAGAGCCAGAAAGTGAACTGAAAATAACACCTGTGAGAAGCGAGAGCGACTGGGGTATGCAACATGGCAAGCAGCACGTCTGGGGGCCTCAGGCCTGGAGGTGCAGCTTTAGGCTCACTGCGGGAGCTGCTGCCCTGACACCTTCCAGCCGGCATTGCATACGGTGAGCACTATTACCTCTGATTCACACCGAGCACAGGGAGGCACCGAGGGAAAACAGCTGCCCACGGCAGGAGAACAAGGGGCCCTTCCACATCCAGGCTACAGCAGCACTGGCGAGCCTATGCCACGTGTGCTATTTATTTTTCCGTTAAAACAAAAGATGTTAATATATGAGCTGCTTTTTCTAAACTAAAACCTCAGAATTCGGGTTTAATTGCAGTGTTGATGCTCTGTGATAAATATGTGGGTTTAGGTTGCAGTTCGGTCTCTAAAGTGTTCTCTGAAAGGTTTGCCATCATGGGTCTCAAGCCCCTGAACTTGCCCACTCTGCTCCACCACCTGTCCGTGCTGGTCCTCGGGGGCTGTGAAGACTGAAGGTCATTTAGCAGCAGCATTTGCACCGCAGGTATCCAAATGTTTTGTCTACCAGATGGCATTTATTATACAAGAGCACATCGCCGTTTTCTTGGTGTGGCTTTCAGTCCTTGCTCATCGGCATGCACAGCCAGTACCCCGGCAACACACACTCACACTCACACACACACACACACACACACACACACACACTGCAGCTCATCAAGGACAAATCAGGGTTGCTTACAAACCCTCCAAGCACCCAGACCCCCAGACCCTGTGGGCACTGGCCTGGGAACCACCAGTCTGGACTCAGGGCCCCGGGCCAGTCCAGTTCCCCAGGTCACCTTTTCCACTTAAAACCCAACCGAGCAGCATGGACACGACTATCTGCACCAGGAACAGCCAGATGTGATGTCAGCAGCAACAGTAACCACGCTTAATCACCTACTGTCACGTGCCAGCCATCTGATCCCCTCCAGAACTCCAGGAGTTGAAGGAAGCCAGCCTGTGTTACTAGTCCTGTCTTTCCTTTAGGAAACCAAGCATCAGAGTTGAAGTTCCCACCACAGGACCCCAGCCAAGTCATGGAGTCAGGCTGCCTTCCTCTACAGCCCTGCCCCTAGCGGGGAAGCCACAGCAACTCCACCGAGGGTCATCAGGAATGTCCCGGAAGCAGCTCCTTGAGTCACCATCACTGGTCATATACTGTGTGCCAGTACTATTCTGGCCTCGGAGACTGCCTTAGTCACTTTCCTGTCGCTGGTGGGACACAATACCCAACACCCACGACTGGAAGGAGGAGAGGTTTATTTGGCTCACAGTTTGTAGAGGTTTCCGTCCACAGTCGGCGGCTCCAAGGCAGGGCATAGCAGAGGAGAAACAGTCCATGGCAGGGTAGTGAGGAGCAGACAGAGGTCAAAGGGGGAGGGAAGGAGATGGCCTCCAGGCCCTGCCCCAGTGACCACTGGCTTCCTCTCCCGACAGCACATTCAGCTACAAACCCATCAGTGGACTACTCCACTGGTAAGTATCTTGCCCCCGGCCCAGTCACCTCCCAAAAGCCCCACCCATGAGCACTTGTGGCTTGGGAGGCATCCAGATATAACCACAGCAGAGATCTAATACGACTCTCTGCCCAGGAGAATGTGGAGCTCAGTGAGGACAACTGTGCGATTTACTAGCCAACAAGTGCTTTCTGAGACAGAAAGGCAGTGGTGCTTCCCCCCCACCCCCAAAGTGAGGGCCTTTCCACACCACGGAATGAAGCAGTTGGGGCAGGTATTGGGTAAGCTGGAGAGAGAAACAAGAGTCCTGCCTCGGCCCCAGCTGGGACGGCTGACCTGCTCTGGGCCTGCAGGGACCCCTGCAGCATCAGTGGAAAGCCCTACCCCGTGTCCCCAGCAGGGAGGAGAGACCCAGCCTGCGAAGCTTATTACCACCAGGGCTCCAGGGCTGTCACAGGCCAGGAACTCCTCCTCACAGTGCTCCCAAGGAGATGAAGTTTATTGGCCTCCACTGCAAGAGCAACTGTGTCCAAGCAGCACCTTTGTCATGGGGAACAAGAGCAGCAGGGGCTTTAGAGGCAACATGAGGATGCTAGGAATTTGCTCCAAAATGTTTGGGAGTAAAGGAGGTTTTTTTTAAATTAAGTGTCAGCCCTGGAAGGAGGGAGGGAGGGTGTGGCTGGAAATTTTCAGATGAACCAACAACAGGTTTCCTGTCTGCAGCCCAGGAAAGGCGAACTGCTACCGGATGACGTGGGGCGTGTGGTGCCCGTGTTTGGAGGCGCCAGCGCCGGGCTGCTGCAGGACACGGGTGAGGGCCTACGGGCATGTTCAGGCCTGTGACACCTCTCAGGCAGGCTTGAGACTCAGAATCCCACAACACTGGCCAGGAGTGCCAGGGCAGCGTCACGCTGTCCTGCCCACAGTCACACGTCCTGCAGCAGCACGGAGCTTCCTCTTTAAAGTGAGTCAGCTTGGAATAAAGTATCAGTAAATAAAAAGCAGGCAGTCCTGCCATGGAAAAAAAACCAAGCGGGTGGTGTGTGAATGGTGGAAGTCTGTGGGCCCTGGCCTGGTCCACCCGTCTCCTCCGAGGTGGAGGCAGGGAGCCCAGAAGGCTGGGGCAGACTGCCTGAGGGAGCAAGCAGGAAATCTTCCGACTCCTTCTTCGCTGCTGTTCTGAGTCTCTTTCCTCCACCTCGCTGAGGGGACGAAACATCCGACACCCACAACTTAAAGCAGAAGCTTATTTTGGCTCAGGTTTCAGCCCATGGTCAGCTGGCTGCCAGGCAGGAGCAGAGTGGCAAAGGGGCCTTGCTGCTCTCATCATGGCAGCCAGGAAGCAGAGAGCAGAGTACAGAGCAAGGGACAGGAACACCCTCTTCCAGGCCCCTCTGCACTGCCCGGCCTCCAGCTGGGCCGCCTCACAACAGCAGTTCAGCGGCTGCATTCATCAGTGGATGAATCCACTGCTGAGTGCAGCACCCCTCTGACCCATTCACCTCACACACACATGAGAATTGAGGGACAGGACATTCTGGATCTAAACCATAATGGTGTTCCTTTATATGTATCATAGTCAAACTTTCAAACTTCCCCAGGAGAAGTGGGGTTCGAGTTTGGAGAACAAACATGGAAGTCCTGTGTCAGTGTTGATTGAAATGTTTCCTTTATTTCTCTAAAAAAGTAATGACTCATGATCCTATAAAAACCCAGAGTGCACCGAAGGTAGACCTAGGGTACTCCCACAGTTCCCAGCTGCCTTTGTGTGAGAAACTGAGCACCCTCTGTAAGGCAATGATACAGTAGCACGGTGGCATCATACAGTTCAAAGTGCTCGTGATAACCCTAGGGAAATGGCCTTAACAGATCAGCATTGAAGGCTTCTGCCTACTAAATACAACAAACCACCCTGGGTATTACCTGTAAAGGAAACACAGAAGGACCCCAAAAATGAAAACAAGAAAGTAGGCCAGTAGGGACTGCAGGACAGTGATTTCCCTGGGTTTTCATGTGCCTTATGTACCCTAGACTTGGAGCTGAAGAAGCCAAGAACCTGCAGACATTACCGGGAGCAGAATTAAAAAGCACCAAAAAAAACCTCAACCAAAGCCTGCCCTCTCCAGCCAAAGGACCAAGTAAGGAGTAGACCGGTGAACAGAAAACTTTAGCTAATAACTGCTCTACTGCAGGCAAAACCACAGAAAAAAATCTGTGCTCCAGCCCCTACCCATGCCATGTTTAGTGAAGAACTGAGGCTTCTACCATGAGAGCTGTAATAAGGATGGAGTCAGAAAGGGCAAAGGAAGGAAAGAGGACTTTCGTCAACCCAGGTCTCAGTGGATGCTGAGAGTCTAGACCTCCACTTTCTCCCAGCAGGAGTGAGTTATCTATCCACTCCCCACTAGAGTGGTGTAAGGAGGCCTAGCAGAGAATCAAGACTTTCAACATAGCCCCTCCATAATGACCCTATCCTCATCATGGCACCTGTGAAGGTGAAAGCAGGGATGCACATCCCTGCCCAGAAGGAACTGTCTCCCCTCAGGTACCAACAGAAGCCACATTCAAGACCTGATCCACGCCCTTCTGCTGGCAGTAGCAAGGCAGAGGCCTTCTCTTCTCCCATACTAGAGTGGTATCAGGAAAGCCAGCTAAAACTAGAAGTTTCTGTAAGAGCCAGAGTCTCATAACATAGCAGGGAAATGTCCATGTTCCAATCAAGGATTGTATGACGTACAAAAACAAACAAAACTCCCAGGACAGTATTGATCTGCATGGATGTAGCCCAGTGGAAAGGTGCTGGGGTTCAACCCCGAGAACAAAACAGAGGACATTCCATAGATGCCAATATCAAGATGACAGGATTACCTAAGAAAGATTTTAAATTTTAAAGCACTCATATTAACGCTCCAAAGAGCAAATACGAACATGTAGGCCCTCAGCAAAGAAATAGAACATCTTTTTAAAAAGACCTACAGAAAATATAAAAGAAAAGCAAAGGGAAATTTTAGACCTGAAAAATACAATAATCAATAACCAAAGTAAAAGCCTCAATGGATGATCTCAATAGTAAAATGGAGAGGCAGAAGAAAGAATAAATTTAAGGATATAACACATTGAAGAGAAAGAAAATAGAATTAAAGATAATAATATTGAGCAGAGGCTCAGGGACCTGTGGGACCATAACAAAAGATCTAACATTTGTATATTTGGAGTCCCAGAAAGAGAGAAAAGAGGACAGGGCTTAAAGATTACTCAAAGAAATAATGACTAAAAATATCCCAAATTTGTCAAGAGACTCAAAACTGTAGATTCAGAATGCTACATAAGAAAGTTCTGAGAAGGGAAAATAAGGCTCTCTAGTGATTATCTCCCAAAGAGACATAAATTTGATCAGATATCCACATGCAAAATACCTTCACAAGAGCTAAGAAAGCCAGGCGCGAGGTCACAGGCCCTGGTCATGGTGTCACAGTGAGAGAAGACACACTGACCAGAACATGAAGGGAGGTCCTCCTCCACCTGCTTGGCTCACCCTCCAGACCCAGGCAGCAAGCACGCAGAAGGCTACCATCCACCCAGGGTGAGGAAGAAGGGATGTGCACATAGGGTCTGCACTGGCCTCAAATGCCACACCGGGCACGAAGCAGACTCATGGCCCTTGACACCACCATACCTGTGGACCAGGTCAGAAGACCCACACCAATGCCAGGTGAGAGCCTGAGAAATGAACTCGAGCTTTGGCACAGGCCACTGCTTTCCAATCGCAGTGAGTGACCCTGGGTTCTGGACAGGCCTCAGTGGCAGGAAGCCCTCAACAGCCATGGGCTTCAGGTGCCCCTCAGTGCTGTGCTGGCCTCAGTGGCCACAGGATTTGAACCCAGGGGCCATGGCGGTCTTGGGCTTAGATGCACAATGGTGGCAGCAGTCACAGGCTTAGGGACATAAGATGGTCTCCCTGGTCTATCTAAGTAGACTTACTGCTGGAGGAGATTCCCGGAAACATCCAGACTGTGCAGACTGGAATAAAAACTTCTTCAGTGAACAGGTATCATCATATGGAAAAGAATCAGGGTTACATAACATCACAAAACAAAAAATTAAAGTGTCAATGATCAAGTCTAAAGAGATGGAGGCCCGGGGATTTAGCTCAGTGGCACCGCGCCTGCCTCGAAAGTGCAAGGTCCTGAGTTCGATCCCCCGTACCAAAAACAAACAAACAAACAAAAAAGAGATAGAGATGTCTGAACTACTCAACAGAGAATTCAAAATAGCGGGACTGGGGATTTAGCTCAGTGGTTCTGCCACCTGCCTTGCAAGCACAAGGTCCCGAGTTCAATCCCTGGTACCAAAAAAAAAAAAAAAGAATTCAAAATAGCTTTTTAACGGAAGCTCAGTGAACTGCAAGAAAATACAAAGAAACAACTCAGAAATGTATCTGAGAAATTTAGCAGAAAGATTGAAATAATTTTTTAATTACATAAATCCTGAAGCTGAAAAATACAATAAATAAAACAAAAGTTACAATAGAAGGCACAAACAGCAGGGTGGGTCAAGCAGAAGAATTTGTGAACTCGAAAACAGGTTATTTGATAACATATAATCAGAGGAGAAAAATAAAAAACTTCAGAAAATCTTGTGGGATTTAAATGACAGCATCAAATGAACAAATGTACAAGCCACCAGCATTTCAGAGGGAGTAGAGAAAGATAATGGAATACAAAGCTTATTTAAATAAATAATAGCCAAAAATAACTGTCCTATAGAAATGAGGGAGCAATAAAGATTTCCAAACAAACAAAAGCTCAGGCAGTTCATCACTACTAGACTTGTATTATAAGAAATGTGAAAGAAAATTCTTTAAGCTGAAAAAAATGATCCTAAAGATATCAACCTACGCATAACAAAATAATATTAGTCACCAAAAATTAAATCCTGCCACTTGTGTCGACATGGACAAGCATGGAGGACATTGTGTTATGTGGAAAAACCATGAAAAAAAAAAAATCACGTGATTTCCCTCCTAGGTGGAATCTGAAGAAGTCGACCTCATAGCAGTCAAAGGTAGAAGGCTGGTTATCAGAGGAGAGTGTGGCTGGGGAGAAACAATGGGGAGATACTGGCCAAGGGGTTGATGATTCCAGTTCGTTAGGAGGAATAAGTTCAAAAGATCTATTGCAAAGCATAGTGACTCTAGTTAATGATAATATATTCTTAAAATGCAAAAAGAGGTGTGATTAAGTGTTCTCGTTATGGAAAGGACAATTCTGTGAGTTTTTGCTAAGTACATGGTTACATTCCACAATGCATATATACTTTAAAACATTATGTTGTAGAAGATAAGTAACATGTAATTTTATCTACCAATTTAAAAAGTACTCAACCCCAAACAGGATAATTGTGTAGGTAGCAAACAACAGAGTTACAAAATCTTTGAAGCAAAAGCTGCTAGGATGGAAAGGTAACCTAGACAAATCCATAATTATACTTGAAGACTTTAACACCACCCTTTCAACAATTAATTTGTTTTTAAAAATCAATTAGACAAAAGCACCAATGATATACAACCCAACAATTGACAGGATCTAAGAACACTCCATAACACCAGAATACACATTTTCCAGTGTCCATGGACTATACACCAAGATAAGCCATACAATGGGCCACAAAAGCAACTTCAACAAAGTGAAAAGAGTGGAAATTATACATCATGTGTTCTCTAAGCACAGTGGAATCAAACTAGAAAGTTGACAAGTGTGATAACAGAATAAATCCTAAAACCTTGAAAAACCAAACAACACACTTCTAGATACTCCACGGGCCAAAGAGAGAGTTGCAAAGGCAATAAATGTCAAAGTGTAAGACATCAAACCATGTGGGACACAGCCCAAGTAGTACTGAGAGAAAATTACAGCATCAGATGTGTATATTAGAAGAAAGAAAGAAAAGTCTCAAATAATAGTCTAAGCTCCTGTCTGAAAAACCTAGGAAAAGGGAACAAAATAGACTTAAAGCAACAAGAAGGAATTAAATATTAATGCCAAACTAGAAACTGATAAAAGCAGAAAGCTAACAGAGAAAAATCAGTGAAAGAAAGACCTCTAACAAGACAAAGAAGAAAAGATGACATGAATTACAATATATATGGAATAAAAGATATGATATCACTTTAGATACTGCAAACACCAAAAGAATAATAAAGAAACACTATGAGCAACTCTATATGAGTTGCTCTGTACACATAAAGTCAGTAACTTAAACTAAATGGACCAAGTTGTCTAAAATAATAAGTCACCACACCTCATTCATTCATTCATTCTTTTTTTTTTTTGTACCGGAAATCGAACTCGGGTCCTTAGCTTGCGAGGCAGGTGGTGGACCACTGAGCTAAATCCCCGGCCTTCATTCATTCATTTTTGAGACAGGGTCTTGCTGTGTAGCCTAGGCTGGCCCTGAACTCCTGGCAATCCTCCTGCCTCAGCCACCCAAGTGCTTGGATTATAGGTCTACACCACCACATCTGGCTAGCACACCTCTTGTGACATGAAATAGATCATTTGAATAGCCTTATAATGTTTGAGAAATTTGATTAATAATTTAAAACTTTAAAAAGGAAGAAAAATCAAATCTCAAGGTCCAGGTGGTGTCACTGGAGAATATACCAAATATTTAAAGGGGAATTAACATAATTCTGTATAATGTTTCCTCGGAAAACAAGGAGGTGACATTTCCCAATTCGCTTATAAAGTTAATTTTTCTTTTGGTGCTGGGGATCGAACTCAGGACCTCAAGCTTGCGAGGCAGGCGTGGTAACGCTGAGCTAAATCCCTGGCCCTATAAAATTAATATTACTGTCATACAAAACCCAAAGATTGTACCAGAAAGAAAACTGCAGATCAATCCTCCTCACAAATATGGATATAGTATTAGACATAGTATAGAAACCCTTAATAAAATGCTAGCAAACAGAATTCATCAATATGTAAAAATAAGTATTTATTCATCAACAATCCACGACAGTAACAGCGTAAAGAAGAACGTTTTGATCTAATTAATCAACACAAACAGCACCATTCATGCTTTCTAAAAAATAATCTCAGGAAAATAGGAATGGAGGAGAACTTTCTCAGCTAGAGCAGCCGAATCTTCAAAAATCGTATGACTACTAGTGAAAGACGGAAGGCTTTCCTCCCTAAGGCTCACAACAAGAAAAGAATACTCATTCTGACCATTCTTATTCAGCACAATGCTGGGAGTTCTAGCCAGCACGATAAGGTAAGAAAAGTAAACAAAAGGTATACAGAGTGGAGAGAAAGAAATAATACCATTCTGTTCTTATTTGCAGACAACACAATCATCTACATAGAAAATCCTAAGTAATCTACCGAAAAATCCAAAAGCCAAGAAGAGACTTCAGGAAGGCTGCAAAATGAACATACACATTAGTCAATATTTTGTATACTGGCAACACATCCGTGAAAGCAAAATTAAAAGTATAGTATCATTTGCCATCACTCAAAATTAATACATAGGTATAAAATAACTAAGCATGCACAGGATTTGCATGTTGGAAACTACACAATGCTAATGAAAGAAATAAAAAATAAGGGAATAAATGGAGAGACAATGTGTTCATGGGCTGGAAGATTTAACAGAGTAATGATTCGGTTCTTTCCAAATTGACACAAAAGCTTAATGTAGTTTCTACCAAAGTCCCAGCAAAAGACTTTGACAGAGACCATAGTATTCTAATATTTATACAGAAAAGTAAAAGAAATAAACTAACTAAAATAACTTTGAAAAAAGAATAAATTTGGAGAAATCCATCTGCCCAATTCCAACACTTATTATATCAACATGATATCCAAATTGTAAGGTACTCACGTAGGTACAGATGCACAAGCCAAGGGGTCAGAGCAGAACCCAGAAGTAGACCTATTCTGGTACCTCCAGTCGATTTTCACAAAAGTGAAAAAGCAATTCAGTGAAGTTGATTGCATTTTCACCAGATGTCTAGAACAACTGGACATCCATAGATAAAATAAGAAACTCAACCTAAGTCTCACACCTTAAACAAAAATTAACTCAAAGTAGATCACAGACGAATGCAAAACATAAAAGCTGTAACACTGTCAGAATAAAACATGAAAGAAAATCCTCAGCTCGAGGGCTAGACGATGAGTTCACAGATTTGACAACAAATGTATGATTTATAAAGAGGAAAAATTAAAATTACACTGCACCAAAATTAAAATCTTTGCTCTGTGAAAGACCATGCCAAGAGTATGGAAAAACAAACTACAGAGCGGGAGAAAATATTTGCAAACTCCTTATCCAACAAAGGACTAGTATTTGGAATATATAAAGATTTCTCAAAACTCAATGGTATAAAAACAAATGATCCAATTAGAAAACAAGCAGCAGATATGATTTTTCACTTTAGGGGAGACATAGCTAGCAATTAAGCACATCAAAGATGTTCAAAATCATTAAACATTAGGGAAATGCAAATTAAAGCTACAATGAGTCCTTACTCACCTATCAGAAAGGCCAAAATAAAAAATACTTATACACCAAGGCCAATCAGAAGGCAAAGAAGCTGTATCATTCATACAACACCGGTGGAAAATGAACGTGGTACATCCCCACGCTAGAAAATTGATTGACACTTTCTTATAAAGATGAACATGCATGTACCATCTGACCCACCCTCCTGGGCTTTAATTCCAGATAAACGAAGCTGTAGGTTCTACAAAACCATGTACGCAAATGTTTATCACAGCTTCATTCATAATAGTCTGGAAAGGGAAGTAACCCAGCTGTCCTTCAACATTTAAGTGGTTAAAACTGCAATGCATCCGTATCAAAGAATTTGACTTAAGAATAAAAAGGAATAAACCACTGATATGTACAACAATGAGGACAAAACTCCACAGAGGGATTCTAGATTTTTTAAGAGCCAATCATAAAAGGTCATGTAGTGTATGATTCAATTCATACAAGATTCTTTAAAAGACACAATTATTGGAATGGTGAACAAATTCCAAAAATGTTTTCAAATCTCACAGAAGTAAAAACACAAAAACAAAAGTATATATAAAAACTGATGAAATCCAAATAAGGCCTCTACTTATATTATAGCAATGCCAACTTCCTTGCTTCTAAAGATACACCGTAGCTGTGTGAGCTGCTATCCACAGGGGAAACTGGGTGAAGGACACCCAGTTCTACTATGTGTGCACCTTTTCATAAGTCAAATTATTTCAAAAGAACTTATCATTTTAAACAACATTTAATATTTGTATTTTCTTATCTCCAACTGATTTTGAAGAGACAGACAGCTCCCTCATTCCAGCACCTGCATGTCCATGTGATTGCTATGAAGACACAGCCACCACCCTGGGAAGAACACATCCATTCACTGCCTTCAGACTCAGAATTCTCATTACTGTCTACACTGCAGCTCCATTTGTATTCCGTGCTCCATTCAGCCGAAGTGGAGAAAGAGTCTCAGACAGCTCGGTTCCTACCCTTCGCTCCTTTCCCTGAGAAGATGGCCCAAATTCTGGGAACCTTATATGGAGCCTGGTATCAGTGCAGGTGCGAGGGTTACAGAAAGGAGGGGTCAAGACCCTCTGTGTCCCTGGGCCACCTGCCCTCGCCTGAGGGTCTGTCACATCATCGCTGCTCTTCACTGGCTTATAAGGAGTCAGGAGGCCACTCCGCACCCAGGAGCAGCACATCTGTGCCACCTGCATTCGTCACTGCTGTGACCAAGCACCATACACTTGCTGCCTTGAACATCACAGAAATATCACTTACAGTGCTGGAGTTAGCAACCTGAAATGGTCTTGGGAGTGAAAACCAAGGCATTGGCAGGCTGCTTTTCTGTGGGAATCCAGCAGAGGACCTGATTTCTTGACCTTTCCTCCTAGTAGAGGTTGCCTGCCTCCCTCAGGTGTGGCAGCACCACTGTAACTTCTTGCTTCCACTGTCACCTCTCTCTCTCTCTGACTCTGACTGTGACAGTTAATCTTGATTGTCAGCTTGTTCAGCCTGAGGGACACTTAGACTAGTAAAGCACACTTCGGGGTGGATGATGGGGGCATGACCTTAGGATCTATATCTAGTGCTTGGCCCATTCCTCTGCTTTCAGTTTCCTGGCTGCCATGGGGTGAGCAGCTTTCCTCTGCCATGTGCTTCTGCCTTGGAGCCCACCAACCATAGACTGAACCCTCTGAAACCATGAGCCCAAATAAACCTTCTTTCTTTAAGTTGGGGGTATCAGGTGTTTGTCCCAGTGACAGAAAGTTGACCAATACTCTGCACCTTTACCTCCCTCTCATAGAGATTTGTCTCACAATAACTCATCCCAATGTTCCAGGATAATTTCCTCATCCCCAAACCATTAACTTAATTACATATCGAAGTACCTTTTACCACATACAGTAACACACACGGGTTCCACTCTTGACACAGGATCATAGCACACTGGTTACTATTGCTTCACAGCAAACCACCCCAAAACATGAGGGTATAAAACAATTATATTATTATGGTAGAAGCCACATTGTTTTTTGCAACATAATCTCAGAAATGATATAGATTCATTTCTGCCAAATATTATTGTCAAAGCACTGCACAAACCTATCCAGGTTCAAGAGAGGGGAAATATATCCTACACTCCTGATGGATGATGGTAAGATCATCCTCACATGCAACAACAGTGCTGTGGAACAGACAATGGGAAGCAGCACGGCGTTCTCCTGTTTTCCACACTGGACAGCCACTTTCTCTGGTGTCTTGCTACCCAGCCACTTATCACACAGGCCCTCTGAGCTTTGATCTCACAGACTTGATGGTGAATAGTTCCACCTCCCTTGTATTCGCCTGAGGAACAGCCATCTGAGGAGCTCTGTCTTCTTGTGCCAAGGCAAAAGCATCCATCCCTGGGGACAAATGACTTTATCTTTCCCATATGTTCTCTCTACAATGTATCATTCATGACTGAAGTTCTGTTCTGCTCCCATAAAGATCCATATTTTTAGAACTAAAAAGCCAAGCATTTGTTCAAGAATGCAATTTTTGTCTCATTCCTCCCCCAAGTTCTCATCCCTACATGGACAGGGTACACCGGAGGGAAAGGGGTAGGACATGGATGGAAGCCAGACTCTAGGAAACATCCAGAAGTGGTATTCTGCCACAGGCACTAAGCTCACAACAGCATGTGTCCTCTGTCAGGGTCTCTAAGGGATTCCTCCCAGCCCCAGGATAAACAGTGTTCATTTTTCCCTACCAAGGTTGGAACAAGCTGGCAAATAAAACAGAGTACATATGGAACACAAACCATGGTCCTTATTACTGGTAGCAGCCAAGGGGAAGAAAGGAGTTCCCCAAATTCAAATGCTGAAATCCTGTGCCCCATTGTGCTGCTATTTGGAGATTGGGAATTTGGGAGGTAATTAGGGTTTGATGAAGTCATGAGAATGGATCTTACATGATGGGATTAATGTCCTTATAAGAAGAGGCCATAGATGGCTCTCTCTCCCTGCCTTCCTCCCTCAAAGTACACACAAAGATTTCATCCAATCACACAAAATTATAGCCACCTCAGAATGAAACCTACTTTGCCAGCACCTTGATCTAGCCTTCCTAGCCTCCAGAGCTGTCAGAAAATAAGAAGTATCTGCTGTGTAAGCCCGCAGTCCAATGCACTTTATTACGGCAGCCCGAGCTGACTAATACAGATTTGGCAGTAAGAGGGAGTACTGCTACAACAAATCCCTAAATATGCAAGAGCAGGTTTGGAACTGGATAGTGGGTCCAGGCTGAAGAGCTCCTGGGTGCATGCTAGAAATGTGGATGTAAAGAGCAGTTCTGCTACATGCTCAGAAAGAAAAAAGGAAAGCTGGAGAAGTGTCAATCAGAGAATACACAAATAATGAGCAAAGTGTTAGAGATATGGACAGTGAAGATCATTTGCTGAAGGCTCAGGTGAAGCAGTAAGTCACTGAAAACTGGAAGAAAATCAACCTTGTCATGGAGTGGCAGAGAACTCAGAGGAACGGGGTTCTAGTGCTTGTGAGAGGCAGATCTTCTAAGCAATGAAATTAAATATTTGGCTGAGGAGACTCCAAAGCAAAATATGGAAGGGGTAGCTTGGTTCTTCTAACTCCTTAACATATGAGACAAAAGGAGAGAGATGGATGGAAGAAGGAACTGATAAGCAAAAAGACACAGAACTTGAAGATTTGGAAACCTCTCAGCCTATCCATATTGTAAAAACGAGGTGGGGGGGCATGTTCCAAAAAGAACACCCAAGGTGTGGCTGGACTATCACTCAGTAAAGAGTGCGTGGGACTATACAAATGGAAGCACTATTGGTCGGACCTGAGACTAAAGAGAGAAAGCTGTTAGACTGCTTGGACTGGACAGGATGGGACAGATGCTCAGCAGTGAACTGTGCTATTCACCAGGAAGAAGGAAAAGTTACCCCACGGGTGAGGAGTTACGGATCATCAGGGTCACTGTCACTGTGTGGTTTCAGCAGGCTGGGGGGCTCTACCTGGCCTGCACAGCAGGACCGCCTGGCC